CCCCTTCCCCAGCACAATCGCGTTTGCTCAAACACCACCCAGGTCCCTTGGGACAGGCAGGGAGGCAGCAGCGATGCCCTAGTTACAGACGGCATGAAGGACACGAGTGACTAATCATGTCTGCAACAGGGTGAAATTGTTACATCCACACCTTTTTTGGAGAGGGAGTCCGTGCAGCTGATCCATATTTAACTTTAACCCAGGGTGGTTTGTTCTCTATAAGGATACACCCCATTTGTATGACAGAATCAGTTAATGGAAATTATTCCCATCAGATGATTTTCAATAGTTTATGGAGAGAAAGAAAAAAAAAACAAAAACAAGCAAAAGAACAAAAAACCCAGAAGAATAGCCACATCTATAAAAAAAGAATTTGCTGAATCCACCTCCTAATAGGTGTGGAGGAGGGCTATGGTCTTGGGGACTGGCTGTCCCCCAGAGAGTTTTACCCACTTTTACCTTCCATCATACACACATACATTTGGGGTGGGGGGAAAAGATATGACTGAATTTCCATAGGACTGAGGTGCTCCCCCACGACCTCCATTCTGCTCCTCACATTTCTCCCATCCACACTTTGCATCCTTTACCCTCAAGGACACATCCCTTGGCCTGGCACAACAGAACCATGGTCCCAAGTGCAGCCTTGAGACACTGCTGCAGTCACAGCAACAGAGGGAAGAGCTGTCCCTTCTCAGATTGTGAATTCTATAGTAGATCAAATTGTGGCAGGGAAAAAAAAGTCATCTTGGTGTCTTTCCTCACTTCCAAGCTGTGAAGCAGCAGGGATTTTGACCCTCCTGGTCTCTCCTTTTTCCTTTCCTCACAGTTGCCTTTTCTTCAACACCTCCAGTTCCACTAGCAGTGAAGCAAATTTGACAGAATCTGGTCAATTTTTCAAGCTTTCTCATTTTAAGAAGTCAGTGGGAGCACACTATCTTGCAATCAAACCTCACAGGAGGGAGAATTAAATATCTCATGCATGACCTTAATCCGTAGGATTTTGCAGATAGTTTCTCTTGTAATCTCAATACCCGGAGCTTATTACGCATTCAAAACGTATCTGTAGCCCTGGAACATTTTGCAACAAAAGGAACTCAAACTTATTTTGATATAATTATGCAGTCATACCAGTCACATACTTACTATGGAACAAATATAAATACTGGGCTTTTGGGAATAACTTACAGACTTAGAGTGTAAAAAAAAACCAAACCAAAACAAACAACAAAAACCCAAGAATGAAACCATCCATTATATATGGAAAAAAGATCAGGTTTAGATGTCAAATTGCAGTAGAAGAAAATGGCACAGTTATGTATGAAATCTTTTATATATTTTTTCAATCTGCAAAACATGAAAGAACTGAAACTGATACTTAAGCATCTCCATAAAGTAATGACTTCATTTTCTAAAATAGGAATATCATTTAAGGCATTTAAAAACCTTTGAAATCAGATAATTTATTCACAAAATGGCCACAGGTCCCTAAGCTTAAATCGCTGAAAGCTAGAAAAAGTTAGGAAACTTTGCTCTGGGTTTTGAGTCTTTCTAGCACATTTTTTCTTGCTCTGCTTTTCTTGCCTTCCTGAAACAAAATGACCTCAAGGACTGTTCTGATTTTGTCGATGGAAATTGCCTCTTTTAATTAGGGACGTTGCTGTTCAAGAGCCACACCCGGCTCTGGTGGTGCTGGAAACCTGCCTCGCTCACTGGGGACCGGCTGGGGCTTTGCCTGCTCTTATCTCCTAAAGTCTTGCAGATCCAATGGGTTTTGGACCACACGTGGGAAGATGTAGCCCCATCTCTGTGCTTTTTAAGACGGGAATACAAAACGGGAAAACAGATGTTAAACCTGAGCTCCAGAGAAGCCACAGGCGCTCGAGTTACCTTCAACATCACTGCAGTTCTGAAAGCAAATAAAGGTGTAAGGGCTTGGGATGGAAGGTTTCATTCCTCAAAGAAGGCAGTGACTCACCCACATTCCTAACTGCACAAACAAGGGAGGCAAACCCTCCTCTGGCAGTTAGGATACTCCACGTTTTCCTGTGCGGAGCAAATCCCAAGCAAAGGCAGCTGTGGTGGTGTGTGATAGCAGACACAGGACAGGGCAGATGTATTTTGGAAAGGGACCCTCTTTTGCACACCTCTGTGTTTATGTGCCTCCTTGGAAAAATAAAGAGTTCCAAAGTACTGCTTTTCAGTTCTGAAAACACACTGAAAAGGGCTACTACTAACAACCAGTTTTTAAGAGCCAAACCCATCTTTTCTTAGATAGGTTTTACTAAGAGGCAGTAGTTTACTTAAAAAAAAAAATCCAAACCAACAAACAAAAACCAAGCCAAGGACAGATTAAAAAAAAGTCAAAAAGCTCACTGAGCAGACAGCCAAGCAGTCTGTAACGTGGATAAGGTGATGTTTCTAACCATCAAGTTACCCATATGGGAAAATTTGACCTAGGGATGTGGAAACCCACCCTCCCAAACGTCTGCTCAGCTGTTTCCATCGGACAAGGCACACTTCACTGGTGGAGGACAAGCATCTTCCAGGTGACGGATGGCATGTAGCCAGACTGCTAAACATGCCCTGCTCCACCCTTCCTGCATGGCTCTCCCAGAGGTGGGGAACGCTGTGCAGGTCCCCAGATGGTCGGGGCATCAATGGAGCTTTGCTGGGTGGTAGCAACAAAGCCCTCAGCAGCACGGATGAGGAAGAGGTGGTGGAAAGGCTGGGTGTGAGGAAACGGGACCAAAAAGGAGCCCAGAAAGCATAGAACGTGAAGAATGCTAATTTGCAAGAGAAAACTGCAGGAAACATCTCTTAACTGTAAACCTCAGAGGTGTGGTTAGGAGACACAGGTGTCAGGGTGACAGGGTGCAGGGCAGGCTATGCCTGTGTCCAGGAGAGATGCCTCAGAGCCACGATCCAAGTGGAGCTCCCCAAGGAGTGCTGCTGGGTAGGTGGTCCCCTGTGTAGCTGTGCCAGGGCTCTGTTGGGTGAGGTTTGTTCATCTGTGCAATGCAGGATGCCAGAATTCCAGCACAAAATTCCCTTTGGCTGCATACTCCATGAAGCAGAATTAAGGCTGATGCTCATTGTGTTCTAATTTATATCAAATTTTCCAGTTTTCAGGTTTCCAGTGGTATACAGACACCCCAAAGTCATCATAATTCATTCTTCCTGCGGTTCCTGAGGGTTCCTAGAGCTGCTGCAGAAGGGAAGTGGCAGCATTACCTAAGTGAGGGGACTTGTGGGGTGGCACACTTGTTTGTGTGACAGCTACCAGTGTAGTTTGTCTACTGATGCTGGGAGAGACCTTGGCAGCATGGGCTGCTAGCAGAACACAGAACTTTTAGTAATGACAAGTATCAAGCCTCAAACAGATAAAATAAGCTATCCTGGAGCTGAAGCCGTGCTCGAGACATCATGGAAACGCCTGTTGCACTGATGCTGCTGCCATACTTAAAGCTAAGCCCCAGCAAGCAGGGACACCACGCAGACCCACTCCTCCTGCTGCTGCAGATTCTGCTGGCAGCATTTGAAATATTTTAGGCATTTCAGACTATTCTCCTGTCAGGACTCCAGAGCTTACATAAAAAAAAATTAACCTGCTTATCAAGTTGCAGAACAACAGCGATCCATCTGGTTTATTAGATGGAAAGAACAAGAGCGGGGGAGGATGTTGCTGACAGTATTTCTGGCTTGATTAAGTGACTGTTATGATCAGAGCAACAGCAAACAAACATCACAAAGTCATTAAAAGATATTTCCTTGTGCAAAGGAAGAGAAACCACCACCAGAGATGGACTCCACACGTATTGCTGTTATTCTACTGAGAATTTTGGCTGGCTCGTGTTGTTTGGAAAGCCCAGTTCTGCCAGGCTGCTTGAGAAAAGCAGCATTTGTCCCCAGCTTTCGGCATGAAAACACAACTCAAATCCCTTCTCGGGAACAAAGGTACTTCCCAGGAGCCTGGCGTGCGGCCGGCATGCCGAGAGCGTAGCCAGGCAACCGCAGCCGGATTGGGGCTTGCGCCTCACCCGCGATACTCCAGCCTCCACAAACAATTCCTGCCACGTCGACAAGACCGTGCAGGGTAATGGAAAATTACTGCAGGCTTTTTCTTAAAGGGCGAGCACCGCCGCTGGCGGAGAGGGCTGATCCGCATCCCACTTCCCAGCGCGCCGCAGGGTCAGCCTGTGTTTCCTGCCAGGAGACTGCAGTGCGGCCCCGCACTGCATTTATTTCATTAATACGATGAAACATCATTCACATGCTATTCCAGCCGGCTGCGGGGATCAGGAGCGAAAAGCAGCGAGCTGAGCTGCGAGGGAAGGGGGGAGCAGAGCAGCCGGAGCTGAAGCACCGAGGCACGGCAGCCTTAGCGCAGGGCAGTTCCTGCGGGCTCCTGCCAAAATCACCCTCCTGCGCTTGGCAGGCGCAGGGCTTTAACAACTGCCTGGCACAGTCCTGCCTGCAAGGCTGCAGGAAGAAAAAAAAAATAAAAATGCCATTAAAGAAATCAAAGTTTGGCAGTGGTTAAGCTGCTATCAGGACAACAGCAATTAAAAAAATTATATATATATATATATATATATATATATATATATATGGCCTTGTTTACCTCCATTTCTGGTGTAAAAAAAGAGAATTTGGTTAATAAGACAGCACTGTGCTTACCTAGCTTTTAATATCAAGCCAAAAAGCCCCACAAAGAGCTGCAGGAGCACCAAACAGCCAGTTTAAGCCTCTGCACCTCTGAAAATCAGAGATGTGCAGACTTACTGGTTGGGCAGGATCTGCCCTGGAGCACACAGGATCTGCCCAGCAAGAATGCACAGCATCAAACGGTGCTCTTCCCAGTCTTCAAAAGTAGCTCCTGTATCCAAGTTTCATTTTGTCTCCTGCAGGAGCAGAGCACTGTTCTTGGGGTACCTACGGGGAACTGTGTCCAGCCTGCAGCAAAAAGAGAAATGCAGACCTGCTGCTCTTGCTTTTACCTTTTTGCTCACTGCACACAGCTCTTGGTGGCCCTGGTGTGGCTCAGGTTCACAGATGTTGCATGCCAGAGTGGTTCCAGGTCAGCTCCTGCAGCAACAGTGCTTTTGTTCTTCCCTATCTTCATGTAATAACCTGCCTTTCTTTTCAGATAAGCACTGGTTAAAGCCTCAACCAAAATATTTTTTCACTCTGTTGTAGCCAGCAAATGAAAACAAAGCCCCTGCAACAAGTTAGGGGACTACTTTGTAATAGAAACTTCCTTTCCCTTAAATAGAAACCTTTGTTGTGAAGCTGTTTTCATTGCAAGCTCTGCAGGGAAAGTCATTATATTTAGTAGAGGTTGACCTCATTTTGTAGTCCTCGATATTAAACCTTCTAAGAGGGAAACATAATTAGAAGCGGTGAGTTCTCAACAAAGATACACAGTACTTGTTGCTGTTTCCTTCTTACCTAAGGATTAATTTAATATGGTTTGGAAAGAGTAACTTGAAACAGCTTTTGGCAGATAACTGAACTCAAAGTAAAATGCAAAGATCTGGTTTCCAAGAAGCTTTTTACAAGCTGTACAGAGAAGTGAAATAAAACCCTTCAGCAGCACACAAGGCTTCCTGCAGAGCCTCCCTGGAATAGCTGCGAACCTGCATTTCAGTGAAAGCTAATCTTGGTTGGAGGCTGGGGTTACATAAAGACACCTTGCACAGAGGCGTAGAGGACCCGTGGTCAGGCATGGACCTGCCCGTGTGGCAGCCTCTGCTCAGCCAGAGGGAATCGAGGGAATTTTCTACTGCATTTCCAAGGCTGTGCTCTGAGACAAAGGAAGAAAAAAGGAGTTTCTTCTCAGTCAACACAGACAAGGGAGGGAGTGCAAAGATGCTCCAGCTTTGTTAAATTTGCTAATGCAACCTGGGTTTCCACACAGTGGACACTGTTGTCACAGCATAATGGTTAAACACAGCACTGGCCACCACTAAATAAACACATTTACCACAGAAAGGGAGGGCAAGGCAGAGAGTGTGCTGCACCGTGCCAGGACCTCTCTGACCTCTCTGAGCACAACCCTGTGTTGGAGCTCTTCACCTTAACATGGTTTAACACATCTCTTCACAGCCTGCTTCTCAAGTAACCCCATCACTTTTCCAAACTATAGAAGTTTGCTTGAAATACACATTTTTAATTAATTTTCCTAGCTCTTGTGATAGCCCCACTGCACTCCCATCTCCTGAGCATCCCTTGCATTCCCAGTGCTCTGAGTCCTGCTGGCGAAGTGTCACCTCCCTGCTGAAACACTCATTATGTGAACAGAGCAATTTCTTGTTGAAAGGCCCAGGCTCCCTTAAATTTCACTTTAGATTCTGCGGTTTGAATGAATGTTTCTACTTCAGCAACCCTGAAAACTTCCTTATTTCTGCACAGTTCTCCCCCCTGCAAACAGCTGACTGCTTTAAACTCTGTTTTGGACTTGTTTTTCTGAAAAATCTGATGAATTGTGGTGTCCCCAGCTGAAGCACTTTGACATGGTGTTAAGCAGCAGTTTCTTTTCCATAGCCCAGCTCTCCTGGGTCTGTGCTGTGTGGGGCAGGGTGGTTGCTGCCCACACTTGCAGTGGGTTTGCCCTGCCCTGTGGTTTGTGGCACAACGTGCATTTCAACAGGAGGAAAGAGAAAGGCAGCTCCTCCAGAAACATCACCAGAAACTCCCCAAAGCCCACAGCATGGTGGCTTAAAGTGCACAGCCTTTGTTCCTCCTCCCTGGGAAGAGATTAGCACTCCACACAAGCAAAAGGAATACAGTCATGGAAAATATGTGAGGAAGCCAAGAGTGGGACCACAGCAGCCTGGGACAGTCCTGGATGGGTGTGCTGTAGAGCTGGGGGGACATTTGGTGGCCAGCAGCTCTCCTTGGGGCAGAAGGACAGGACATAAATAAGACACCTTTACCCTTGCACCCTACTTGGCCTCCACTCTCAGCAAGGCCAGCGCAATTCCAGCTTAGCTGGTTTTTCCACCCTCCTATTTCAGATGTGGAGTGTTATTATTAAATCACACCCAACAATTCCCACCACACCTCAGGCAATTAACCCTATCTCATGGCAGTGCTGGCTGGAGTGGGCCTGGACAATGTCCTGGGACTCCCATAAAGCTGGGAGCAATTTTTTCACTCATTCAGTGTGAAGAAGGTTGGGCTTTTTGCATTTATTTTTTGGACAGTATTTTCAAAGAGCCTTTCTGTCAGGCTTAGCCACGTATGAGCTTCCAAGTGAGCTCCTCCAGCTCTGGGGGCACCATTAGCAGGGCTGCCCTGTGCTGAAGTGATGTCAGCACTTCCATTACCTCACCTTTCCCTTGCTCCAGCCCCTTTGTAAGTGGGACATAAAAATCCAGTTCTGGCAGAAACACTCAAGCTAACAAGGAAAACAGTCACCACCTTAACCTGATCCTTGCTAAACTTATCTGGCTGGGCGGAGAAAGCAAGGGATTTAAAATATGCTTTCTCCCTCCCACGCCTAAATCATGAATTTTAAAATCCAGCTGTATTGCACTCAAATTACTCACGGGGAATTTTTTTTTAGGTTGGGGTTTTTTTTCGTAACTTACCCGTGGTAAATGGAGAAGTGATCCTTTCTCTCCTCCGCCTCTTTGCAAGCCAAACACTTGATTAAAAATTTCCATTGTCAGTCTACTAATGAAGGCCACAGTTAATAGTCATTTTAATTGGGCACAAATCCATTGTAGTGTTAAGGGAAGACACGGATGTCCTTCTCACCACCCTTGGTGACACACAGCCACCCAGGCTGCTGGGGCAGGAATTAATTTAGCTGACAATTCACCCAGAGCTTCCAGCCAGCCCAGCCCTGGCTGAAACCACCCCACAGCAGAGCAGGGGCACTGCTGGGTTAGGACAAAGCAGATGGGGCTGGAGGGAGGCAGGAGTGCTTATGGAACATGTTTTTCAGTAGCTGGCTTCTAGATCAGCTGCTGCTCAAGGACAAAGCAGCCCCTTCTCTTGTAGAAACACTTGCTATCGAGTGGCCATGCCATCAGCCATGGATTCATCCAAGCTCAGACTCCATATTTTTCCTTTCTTCTTGACTTTTCAGCTGGATCAGTTCCATGAGCACAAGAGCCAGCACACACAGAGTGGAGACAGGGGACTGAGACAGAGGAGTGCAAGATGCCTGCAGCCAGCAGCACCAAGGACTCGGGGAAGTTTGTCTCTCTGAATCCAGCACACAGCATGTGCACCGTGAAATCAGGCCAAGAGAAAGAGGCCATGGCCTTCTCTGCATTGCCACCTCAGATGTTAGAGGAACTGCACTAAGACAACCTGTATGACGGGCCTACCAACTCTTTCACTCTTACAAAGAAGTTACCCCACTTCTGGTTTCAATATTTACACATTTTCTAAGCTCAGCATGTATTCCTGTGTTACCCCAGGAAAGGCAAAGCCTGGAAACAGGTCAGGCTCCAGCCAGCAAGAGCTTGTTCTGGTGTGACAACATCTGCAGCTCCAGACTTGCTGAGGATGTTTGGGACATGCAGTAGGTAGAGGTTCTGTGGAGTCAGGCGAGACAGCACAGCCCTTCCATCCTGCTTTCCTGGGAAGGGAATGCTGTGCTGCACATTCTGGCAGTGCCTGCTAAAACACTTTAAGCTCCAATGCCACATCCAACTGCCCCTGAAAGACATGTTTTAGAACTGAAGTTTCCATGTGTCTCCTGAAAACTCCTTCTCCCACTTGACCTCCAGACAGTTGGGGTAGGAAGCCTGTGAGCGTGGCCATCTGCCATCCTGCTCAGAGGCAGCTGCCTTTCAGCCTGCTCATTAGTGTGCATGTCATCACATCACACACTCTCTGCTTGCTGTGGGGAGGGGCTCTTTTTTGCAGTGGAGTCTAGTAATACAGGACACAGATTTACAGGAAATGAGGCTTTACTTCCTGCTCATGGAGAATCATGTCCTGTTTGTCTGATTAATTCTGGAGGCATTATGCTAACGGGTGCACATTCCACTGCAGGACACACATAATGCCAAACTAGCTCCCTTGAGAACACTTGAAAGGGGAAACCAGTGTTTTGGCTGCTGTGCTCCCTCTCAAGCCTCCAGCAGGCTGGGTCAAAGATCAGTACCCCAGTTTTCCCCTGATGTCAGCATGGCTGTGCTGGTGAATGCCAGCACCACAGCTTGTCCTTTTCCACCCAGGAACTGCAGTTTTCCCTGTGCCACCCACTGCAGTGCATGGGGCAATTGGCAAAGCTTCGCTATGACTTGCACCTGGCTAAAATTCCAGCTGTCTGGGAAGAATGGCACATTATCCCGAGTAAACAAAAACCCTTTCATGGAGAAATGAATGTCAATACCAAAGGTGGGTAAGAGATTAAAGTAGTGTTCAGAGGACACTGGGTTCCCCTGGGGACTTTGATTTCACCTCTGATGCTGTGGTTTGGCTCAGCACTGGAATTTATTCCTGTTAAATATGTACCTAATGAGACCAGTGACCTCCTGGGAGAGTTGCATCAGTTTTCATCCCAGCTGTTCCAGCTTCTGCTAGAGTTTCCATTAAAGGACTGGTAATATGTGGCCCACTGGTCCCATTTATTTCTTTTAGCTGGGTCTGGGACTGCTCCAGCTCCTAAACCTTTACCTGCTGCTGGCTTGGGAGGTTTGTAGAAGCAGGTCCACAACTCAGTCCTGTTGCCACTGTGAAATGCTGAGGTCCCCTGTGTGCCTCATGGAAGTAACTATGAAATACAGAGAGATTAAATCAGTCCTGAAATGCCATTTCTCTGCCACGAACTTTGTGCCCAAGGCTGAGAGGTGAATATGGTTCTGCTATGCTGAGAAACAAAACAAACCCTATGGTTTTTCTCATCTGTTTACGAGATTGAAATATAAGTCATGGCTTTAAGGTATGTATTGTAGGCTCTCTTCTTTAAACACATAAATATTTTATCAGTGAATATTCTGTTTCAGCAGTCACGCATGAGCTCACTCCAAAGGCTGTTGCAATTGCAAGTTGTTGCAATCTGGAGTTAAGCAGTCATTCAGATTGTGCAATTTCCTAGTGTTTGGGAATATCCCAACAGAGAAGAAACAACAGAAAATGGAAAATGTTGTTTTCTTAATC